TCCCTACACACACAAAGTAAAAGGAGAGCTCTGATAGGCAAACGCACAACTCATCCTGCAATTCAGGCAATGAGCTGCTTGACTTTAGCACAAAGGATTAACGTTTCAATCATGTGCATTCACTGCCAGTCATGCCCTGGCTGCTGTATTACCAGTGCCTTGAGGGCAAAAGGTTCTCTGTAGTGTGTTGGAAGGCTGGAGGTGGGGAATTACCTGGCGCAAGTGTTACAGAGGTGGATGCTTATGTCTTCTGTTCTCTTCCAGTCACCCGATGCAGCTGATGATCTCAGATATATAGATGACAGAAATAACACAGGTAAGCTCATGGCCAAGGGAGTCTTTGTATTGCTTGCTTCTCACCACAGTTCTAAAGGGTTCCCCTTTACCTGCTTGTGGATTCAACCCTGAGGACTTCAACTTCTTGCTGCTTGAAGCAATGTCCTATTTTGTCCATTCTAGAATGAAACCTCCAAAGTCGCCACATTCAGTTTTGGGTAGGATATTTGCATTGTGCTTTAGTGATGGCTAATTTGCTGAGAATGGTGTATAACAAGCATGCCTGGTTTTCTTTGGTTTTGTGTTCTGGAACAGAGTGGTAGTAGAACATGGGTGGGAAGTTTTGGCCTCCATCACCTGCTGTAAGTGGATAACATCCATTGTTCAGGATCTGCCTTGTGCCCCTTTTGCTAGAGCAAAGAATTTTGCTGCCTGCAGCAGCACATAAATTCATCTTGCTTGAAAACGAGAGCATTTGGGTACTTGAGTACCCAGGTGCCTCTCCAAGTCTGCGCTTGTGGATCTGTGTGCATGATCACCTAAATAAACAGTAATTAAAGCTTTGACTGCTGTATCTCTTCAGGCTGTTCTAGCTATGGCATGTCTTTCTGTCCCCAACTACAATAGACAGGCTCGGACTTTCTCCCACATCATTCTAGATGACTGTAGTAGAATTTTAAAAATCCTCCTTTTCAGCATCAGTTCTTGGCCTGCTTTTGTCTCTTTTCAGATATTCTTCTCAGAACACGTGGATAAAATATTTGGAATAAAATATTTCTCTCGGAAAATACTTGCATTTTTCTTTACCATATAAGGAAAAGGAAAGGAAAACAGTTACCAAACATCAAAGGAGTATATACTGAACTAGTTCAAAACAACACTATGTGTGTGCATTCTCCTCCTGCACCCCCCCCAGCTTCATTTGCAACTCCCAACATTTCAGGCATGAAAAATCCTATCAGGCCTTTCACTTCTGTGTGTATTTAATATAGCTTTAAAGAGATCTAATTGCTACATTTAGTGACACCTTTTCTCTGTACACCTCTACACACACTGGGATTTTAATCAGAATTATCCTTGATCATGAAATTACATCTTTTTGATCATATGGTGAACTCCTAAAGTTTATGCTAGAAAAGCATTATAACAGAAACTCCAAGGATATCTTACTGCTGACTGCAGGAAAGCATTAGCATATCTCTCTTCTGAATATCTTTGAAAGCATGCCATTTTCTTCCTGTCCATTGCAGATGGGCTCTGAGAAATAGTTGTTTCCATTCTCTGGTCTGACTTCATGGTCAACATCTTTTCATAGAATCATTTTGGTTGGAAAAGACCTTTAAGATCATCAAGTCCAACCGTTAACCTAGCATTGCCAAGTCCACCACTAAACCATGTCCCTAAGCACCACATCTACATGTCTTTTAAATACCTCCAGGGACAGTGACTCCACCACTTCCCTGGGCAGCCTGTTCCAATGCTTGACAACCCTTTCGGTGAAGAAATTTTTCCTAATCTCCAATCTAAACTTCCCTGGCACAACTTGAGACCATTTCTTCTTGTCCTATCAGTTGTTACTTGGGAGAAGAGACCAACACCCACCTGGCTACACCCTCCTTTCAGGTAGTTGTAGACAGTGATCAAGTCTCCCCTCAGCCTCCTTTTCTCCAGACTAAACAACCACAGTTCCCTCAGCCACTCCTCATAAGACTTGTTCTCCAGACCCTTCACCAGCTTCATTGCCCTTCTCTGGACACGCTCCAGCACCTCAATCTCCTTCTTGTAGTGAGGGGCCCAAAACTGAACACAGTGTTCTCACCAGTCTGAGATCACTGCCCTAGTCCTGCTGGCCACACTGTTTCTGATACAAGCCAGGATGCCTTTGGCCACGTGGGTTCACTGCTGGCTCATATTCAGCTGGCTATCAACCCATACCCCCAGGTGCTTTTCCACCAATTTTTAAATGTGTTTAAAAACATTTATTCCGAAGTTTTCAAGAGGCCATGAAGTTATTGAACTACACAATAGCATTTTTAGGGTGGAATGATGCTATGCATTTGCTTTATGACATAACTTTTCCGCATCACTTAGAACCAGAGTCTTTTGCTTTCCAATCTTATAACCATCAGGTTTCAGAAATACACCCTTGATAACTTTGTAGTGCACTTATTACTGGATGCCTACTCATGGTATGTAAGAAACTACTTTCATCCTCATGGTCTTTGTCCACTTGGGATGTGTAACGTCTACAGCAACTTACACAGGAAAGGTATCTTTTTATCCTATACTGGACTAATCACTATTGTATTACTAGTTTTGTCTAGGACTCAGTTCATATACACATAGGAATGATAGATGGTCTCTCCACTTCTTGTATTGTTAATTTATCCCATCCAGCCTTTTTGGCCACATCTCTACTCCAAAGACTTGCATCCACCCTTTTGTTCTCCAGACTTCCGTTTTACAGATTCTTTCCCACTAAAAAGCAAAATTCCACAAAACCAGAATCTCTAGATTCATACTGGTTGCAATGCCTGTGCTCTCTTCCAGTATTTTCTGATTTCTCTCATAGGGTCAGAAGCATGTAAGGGAGACTTTTACTGGTTCAGAATATACCAGTATCCTGTTTGGGCGGAAATGAGTTCTTAGGGAAACACTATAAGAAAGAGAGAAAACGAGCTTGCATAGAGACATATTCTCAATTTTCTGTAATCACCTATTAAGCAGGGATGTCTTGAGCCAGGTATTGTGTCTAGATCATCAATGGAGTGATCATCTATATAATTGTCTAGATTTTTTTTTTTTAATCTTTCATGATGCTTTGTAGCTTTGAGTTCCATAATTAAGCATTTTGTTTACTTTAATTCTGTTTCTTGATAATTTAATTCTGTTTCTTGATAATTTCCTTGAGTCTTCTGGGATGCAGTGAATAACTGTCTCATTTACTCTTTCTATACCATTCATGTAGGCCAGTATTATATCCATTACCTTTCTTCCAGGCTGAAGAATCCTAGTAGTTCCTTGTGGGAATTGTTCCCATACCTCTCTGGACCTCTTTTATTTCATTTATGCCACTTTTAGGGTAGAGGAGGAGAACACGGCTGCATGTGGTATTGCAAATGTAGGTATATGATGACTTTATGCAGTAGCCAAAGGTGTTCTGTATGTTCTCCCATCTTTTCTGATATCTAATCCTCTAAAGTGAAATGGTATTGCTGAGAAGTGTGCAAGTGTTTTCAGAAAGCTCCCCCTAGTGACTACAGAATCTTTATAGCATTTTAAGGATGTTGCATTTTATATGCAATCAGGATTATATTAATTTTATTGAGCTTAAGCATCATCCAGTAGTGTAAAAATAAACTTACTAAGTCAGCACAAGGTTTGGGCTAGTCTGATACTTTGTCTGATGCGAGCCACTGGGAATACCAAGAAAAGTGCATAAAAGAAGAAAAGCATGAATTTATTCCTTCCAGAATACTACTCCAGGCACAACAATCTGTGTTTTAGCACTTTCTAAGCCAGAGGCCTTTAATTTTAGAGTTGTTTGTTTCTTTCTTGAATCTATTTGCATTTGCAGTAAATTTCCCCTTCCACATCATTGCCCATTCAACTCTGTAAAATCTTAATACTCTTTTTTGTAGCTGAGTTTCATGTGACTACCCTGATATATATAGCTTGATATCATCCGCACTTTCTCTCAATATAGTCTTCATCACTTCTACTGCTTCTCATTAGTTACCAAATGCTGACCCTACACAGATGGCTGCTCTATGTTGTGGTAGCAGGTAATACCTTCCTGCACTTTTCCTGTGTTTTGTTTATTTACCCACTACAAGTCGTGCCTTCTTATCTCATGGCAGCTTGTTTTTGTTAAGAGCTTTGGCTGAGGAACAGTCAAAAGTTTTTTTGTTTTTTTAAAAAGTTCAGTGTGCCATGCTGAGATCACTTAACTTGCATGTTTGATGGCTCCTTTGGGCAATTCTTGTCTAAAAGGGTCTAAAGGAATGACTTCCCTCTAAGCCGCATTGATTTCCTCCCCCCCGCCTCCCATCTGGATTTTCATCTGCATGTGCCCATGCCTTTCTTTTATACCCGTTGGCCTTGTTTGGAAGTCAGTCATCTGCTTACCAGTCCCAGTATCCTTTCAAGATGTCAGATTTGTCACCTACATTCATTTGGCTCTGTGGCCTTTTCAAACAACAGGTTAATGCTACAGTTAGTAGTTCAGGAAGGATTCTGAATTATTACAGCTACTCATAATTGGGTACTGTAACAAGGAGGATATTGCATCTTGGAGTCTGGCTGTAGAGCAGAGGGCAGGCCAATGGGTACAGCTCAGCAGTCTGTGCACCTTTGTTCTGATATATCTTCACAGGTTTCTGTATTTGAGGTTCTCTGCTATGTTCAAAGACTTTAGAGAAGCTTCCTGATTTGCACTTGGGAAAAATCTATGGGTTTGTGGAACTTTTTCCTTTTTACACAAGTAGTTGCTCAAGCCAAATTACCTCAAAGGGCAGATGTTCCAGGTGTATGTCAAAGCACGTCAGACAAGCTCTACCAGCTCCTTTCAGGAGGGTAAGGAGCCACTGTAACAGCAGTGCACTTTAGATGCAGAACACATTCTGCAAGGCCTGAGACCAAGTTAACTGAGAGTCTGCCCTGCCAGAGTATCTTTCCTGGTGAGTTCCTTTTGGTGAGGGACCCAAGTCACAGTCTAAATTTACAGAAAGGACTTAGTTGTGTAACTTCAACGTTAAGCAAGGCCAAAATATTCCCCTCTCTACAGCATCCCATACTGGCAGTCACACTGCTCTTTAGTTTCACTAGTTTCTACTCTGTTGAAACTAGTGAAATGCTTGGAGCACTAGCATACACCTGAGACCTTTCAGTACACTTTATTTTTCCTAAGGCTTGGCACTTCCAATGATTTTCAGTGAATGGTAGGTGTTAGGGTTAGGTATCTTCTCACACATGTGACTTCCTTCCCAGAATCCACAGTAGTCAGTACATGAGCTATAGATCACCTACAAGTTCTGGGCACAGGATTACTGTAAATCACTAAGACTTCAGTGCTGTCTCAAATTCAGCACCCAAGTATACCCTTAAGTCTACATTAACTGTATCAGCTATATACTTAACCTAGCACTTTCTCTTAAAACCTTAATTTTTCTTGTCTGCACAGTTCCCCAGGAGCAGGATGGGCAGCCAGAGGAGGAGGAGATGTTAGTAACACGTGATTCATCAACACCTACTTCATCAGCACTTGAAGAAATGGCCCTGTACAGCAGCAAACGCAAACTCCGACACAGCCGGCGCAGTTTGGAGGCTGCTGTCCCTACGTAGAAGATCTGATGCACCTGGGCAATGGAATAGCCCAGCACGGGGCTTTTGAGCTTCCTGTGCTCCAGGGACAGCACTGGACTGCCCACACTGCTGCCTCCTGGATTCTGGATGGGAACTGAGCACCCCAGGGCGCATTGTGGTCAACTAACTTCCTTTAAGGCTGTGAACCGCCCTCTTTTCTCACCCAATAATGCACTGGGGCATGTCCTACACAAAATGGGATGACACTAGACTTATTGACGGCAAATTGAGAGGAGGTGTGGATAGGACAATGGGCAGCTGCAGCTTGTTAGCCTGTAAATATTGTGGGGGGGAAGGGTAGGACAGGGAGAACATATGAGTGTGAGAGTGTGTTGGGCTCCAGCTGTTATTTCCTCAACTTGGATTTTTTTTTAGTGGTTAATATGGGAGCTTCTACTCCAGTATGAATTAGAAGGAAGGTCCAGCCTGCCTTTGCTCCTATTTAATTTCCAGTCTTTTGCCAAAAAGCATCTCCTTCCACCTCCCACACCGTATCACCTCACTGTCTTTTGGGAGTATGTGGAAATGGGTAGCTTGGAGGCAAAAAAGAAAAAAAAAAAAAAGAAAAAAAAGGAATTTCAGTGAAGTGCCTCCCTCTGACACTGACACCTATGTGCTGAAGCAAAGACAACTGAGTAAGCAGGAGCCTATGCCAGCTCTGTGCCACTTGCCTCTGTGAGCGCAGCAATCTATCCCATGTAGGAACCTGCTCCTGCCAATATTATCTGCTATTCTGGGAGACAAGTACCTACCTAGATGCACACATAGTTGTGTGTATCTCGTGCATGCAGTGTGACCCACTCTGCAAGCACACCGTATTGAGTGTCAGAGGCGGCCAGGTATCTGTCTTGTGTCAGCACCGTGACTGAATTGGTGAACTGGGGCAGAAATGAGAAAGGAGCCGAACAGCTGTAGCAAGAATATAGCAGTGTGCATGTGTGACAGCAATAGAGAGCAGAATAGTTGGGGATTAGGATATGGTGGCAGAGATAGGAGGTGTAAACAGCAGATAAGATAGTGGGTTAGGATTCAGGAAATGGGGACTGGTAGGAAGTGGCGTTGCTGGGGTCAAGTTAGGAGTAACGGGGTCTCACAGGTGGGAGGATACTAGTGGGTGAGTCCACTATGTTGCCCTGCTAGCTGTGAAGTGAAATGTGACATTACAGGGCTGCCCAGTGTGGGGCTCTCAAGGAATGCCTGCCAGGCAGGGAGCACAATGAAGTAGGATGGGTCTGGCCTATGCCTTGCAATAACTACACAATTCTACTCTTTGCCAACTTTTTGGCTTCAGGCCCCTTTCCATGTAGAATAGGGAAAAGATATGCTTGCCCATGCAAGAGTTAAAAAACAAAAATGAAAAAAGGAGCAGGGGTGTGATACCTGGTTTCCATGAGTGGAACAAGGGCTGTGAACAGATTCTGTATCAAGTGAGCTCTGCAGATGTGGAGGAGGCTGATGCTGCTTATAGCTCTGAAATCAGTCTCTGCTGCTCCACTGCCCACTACTGAAGTAAAACATCCCTTTTTTTTTTTT